ACTACTATTGCCGTCCTCTCCTTTCTTAGGCCCAGTAAAATACAATGAAGGCAAGAAATCTTCAAGAAAATTAGTCTCTTACTAAAGGCTTGGAAATGAAATGGTCTGATTTTTTGACACATTGGAAATATTGGGCATGGAAAAATTGTCATTTTTGCCAGAATAATTACAAAAAGATTCTTGAGAGAAATGCTCAATGGTGTAGGGATTGGAATGGACATTGTCATTGTTGTTCCTTGAGTATCTATTCTTTCTTTCTTTAAAAAAGGAGGTGAACCCTTGTAGGAACCAGATCCAATTATTATCTTTCACTGGCTGTAACTTTTTTCATGGATTTCTCCCAATAATATTTCATGTGTTTCACAGATTTGAGATGCACACCATGTTAAATTATAAGGATTATGATTAATTTTTGCTTTTTATTACATTTAATCAACAGGTGATGAGTTGAATATTACTATTGATGTGGAAGACCAAAAACCTGCTGAATCCAATAATCAGACAACAACTTCCATCGTGGAGTCTGAAAAATACCAAATGGATGAGCTCCAAAAGTCATCTGCTGCACCAGAAATGCAGAGAAGTGTGTCTTATCCAGACACAGAATCTCTCCAAGCACTTAGAGAGAAATTCTTTTTATTAGCTGGGAATAACTATCTTGAGACTACACCACCACGGAGCAAGGAAGAGCGAGATGAGTTCATGGACTTCATGCAAGACCTGAGAGTTCTCATAAAGGGTGCTAGACAAGGAAGTCTGGTGATAACAGTGCAGTGTAAATCTCTCCAGATCTTGGAGGAATTGTGGAGAGAATATTTATCTGGTCACTTGGGTGAAGTGGTTCAAATTTGTTTCGTCATGGAAACGATCTTGAAGGAACTGAACCTGGGAGAGCTGACGCTGAAAACAACAATGGATATAGAAGAGTACAATGCATGCAAAGTGTACTTTGAGAGAATTGCACTCAGAGGTTAGAACTGTGCAAGACCAGATTCCGGTCTCAAATATATTTAAAAAATGTATCATCATGGAATGGGTTTTAAAACTGTTACAATATGAAGAATTGGTTTAGTTTTTTATCAAGACATAACATGTTGTCTAATTGAAGAAGTTTATATGCTTACTGTCTAAGTCCTGCTATAAATGAGCAAGATGTTAGTCAGTATCTAAATTTTTGTTTAGAGTTAATTGAACTTTCTTCATTTTTTTACTTGTCTGTCTGTGTTAAAAGAAAAAACTCAATGCCACCAACCTGCTCTTAGTTATTGCTTGAAATAGTGCTTTTCATCCTTTGGCTGATGTGTTAAATTTTATTGTGAATTATTTAATATAAAATTTATTTGAAAAGAATCAATGAGGAAATGATAATTATCAGGAAGCAGTAGTTTTGGTTGATAAATTTAATTAAATGTAGGTTATCTGCCACAGAATAATAAGATCTGTGTAACTGTCATATAATATTATTGAAAATGCAGTTTTTAGTATCTGAATGGTAAACTCACATATTGATTTTCTTTTAAATTTTATTCTAGACGTTTTGTCAGCTCAGTCATGCTCCACAGGTACTGAAGATGAAGCACAGATAGAAAGATGGAAACAGAACACAGAGGTTGTGGAGTCAGAGAAAGTGAAAAGTAAACACAACTGAATCTAAACCTTGCTATTCAGAAATTTAATAATACCAAAAATTTAGTGTAAGTTTTTGCAGAAACACTTCTTTGTTGACATTAGGGGCTGTTTTGAAATAATTTATGACGAGTAACTGAGGAACTGAATGATGTCTTGAAGAACCAATTCTGAGAGAGTATACTTTTCATGACCAGGACACATGTTAGAATGCCCATAGCTATCTTTTCTTTTTAAGTGATTTGAAGAAAGCTATTTATTTAATAATTAACTGCTCTATGCACTTTAACTCTTAGGTAGTTCACCCATTCTTGAAATGTCCACCACTGGTCATGATAAAGAAGGAAAAGAACCGCAAGAAGCTATGAAAGGTGAACAGAAAATTCAGTTTTTCTCACATGTACTCTTCTACAAGGAAATAAATCAACCAAGAATGCTGTTAAATGCTTTCAACTCTTATAAAGTGCTGTCTATTTTTAAAAAAATCTTGCACCCCAAGTTTGTTTTTCTGATTCCGTCCTTCATCTGTCTGTACCGTGGAACTGTGAAAGTGTCCATATTACAATATTTGTGTAAAATTGGTTTCAGTAATAATCCAAAGAGACATTGAAGAACTAACACTGAAAGCATGTTATTCTTTTGTTGACTTATCTTGACATAATAGAATTTGGACAATTTCTAGCTCCTTTGTACAGTTTCATAGAATCCACTTTTTTATTTAACCCTTTAACTACTATAATAATGGACCAAAACAGAATTTTTTTCTTTACAATACAAATGAGCAAGTGATGTCATAGGAACTGTATGGTTCTATTTGTCTTTGACCCATTTATAAAGAAATTAAAATGAGCTAAGAAATATTAATTGGCAAGATCTTTGTTGGGGGAGCTAAAGAGAATTTGTGTGGGGTTTTTTTAAAAATGATATGTGTGTTTCATGGTTTACTTCATAGTTTTATTTGTTTTGTTATAATTTGGTTTTAGGTGCTTTATCCTATGAATTCCACAGCATAATTTCAACCAGTGAAAGTTTACAGAAACAAGAAGAGCTGAAAAAATGGCAACAGAAGACAAAGGTTGTTGAGACAGAGAAAATGAAAGGTGAAAAGAAAATTTAAAGACGTATCAAGTTATTTAATGAAAATTTGTTGTTAATGGTAACAACAATTACGTGAAATCTTTGAAGAATGATGTCAGGGCAATAATGTGGCATCAGTAATATTGTAAATGGTACAACTTAAAGGAAACAACACATTTGAATAGAGGCTGTGAATGCTAATCTCACTGTGCTCTTTTCCCTTAGGTACTCCACCCCTCACTGTAATAAGCACCACTGGAAAAAGAAAAGAACTAAAAGAACCTACAGGAAAGAAAGGTGCACAGGAAAATTTGTTTGAATTAATATCTGAAGTGAATATATTTGTATCTTCAGCTATTATGCCAAGTGTAAAGCTAGACTTACTTGATCATAAATTATGTATTAAAAAACCAACATTTAAGTATTTTAGATACATTTCATACATTTTTTACAGATAGTCACCTGTTGGTCTACCATGTTATGATCTCTCTATTAAAAGTAACACCATAAATTGCTGTGTGTACCTTTTCCCTTAGGTACTTCACTCTCCGCCAAACTGTCCACTGCTGGTCACGGAAAAGAACTGGAAGGAAAACTGAAAACTCTGAAACTTCAGAAAGAGAAACGTGAGTGAAAAAGGACTCTGAAGCCAGTTGGTCAGAATCAATTAAATGAAACTGTAATTTTTATCAGGCAAGAATGCTCTTCATAAAGTAAAAATATTGAATTTACTAATAAAATGAGATTTGGGAACAAAGGGGTTAATTTGTTACAACTGTAGGTTTCCTAGTATGTTTTTTTTATAGGATTTTAGACTCTAAAGTTTTAGCACTTAACAAACCCACAAGCTTTTCATCTAAAAATTTTTGCTGTTTTAAACGATGCCTAAGTATCCATTTGTCTTGATATTCACATTGGTATGTCTTGTGGTGACTATTTCCATGGCAGTCGTGAATGCTAATCTCTGTTTGTGTACTTTTGTGTTTAGGCACCTGGCCTGTCCATGAATTTTCTGCCTCTGAATTTTCTGATTCTGAGAAAGAATTAGCAAAGCTACGTTGGAAACTTCAAGCAATGGAAGGTGAATGAAAAATGCTGTTTACTTAGCTTTTACAAAGAATATCTTGAAATGCTCTCAGTTTTTATGCAAAAGATTACCTTAAACTTTCAACTTTTCCTACTTATGCAAAATTATAGGTGCTGTTACGCGCTGTTTGCTTGGTGCGGGTAGTGCTTGGGATTTGCACGCGCGTGGAGTGTGGGGTACTTTGATGACAAATTTCAACCGTTGTTAAAAGGGTTAACCGAAGAATTGTTTATTAAACTTCTGAACAGGGACAAATTAATCGGTAGCCGTAAAATGGCCAAAATTTTAACCGTAAGCCATTGAATGGCCAAACTTTTTAACTTTTTGCCGTAATAGCAATCACTCCATTGAGACCCTAATGTATCTCTTGCATTAAAGAAGTTTTGATAATAATGTGATATGTAAGAAATGATCGACATCATGAAATGGTAGTGGTATCTTTGAGTGATAAATATAAGGTAGCCTTAAGCTTGGCGGTGTTCTGTCACAGTTAATGACAACATTGGCGCTTACTTTGTCTTTAACAGAAGTTCGTTATTTTTTCAATAATTTCTCTAAATTGAGAATGTGAGCTAAAGTACTAAAATAGTCTGTGCCTTTTTATGTGCGTTATCGTAGCTACTATGTATCAAACCATGAGATCAGGACTGGCGAAGTTTGATGTCAGTTTACCCGAGGAACTCCAGAGCTATGTCAGCTACTTATTAAATGAGTCAGCCAAACTTGGCTTACGCAAGCGAGGTATTTAACATGGCTAAAGTAACTGACAGTTTGTATTGGTTTTCAAACATATATATTATTTCCAGTTATCTATATTCTGTCGTAAAATTGCAGAGAAATGCTGGTTTTTTGTAATGGTCAAGATTTGTGATCTTGTGTTGGGTATGTTCTTACTCAGTAGACCTGGTATATTTATGCAATTATCAAATGACCTATGCGGTCCAATGCCCGTTATTAAAGATCCCTCTATGAGGGCCGTGTGCGTTTGTGCGAGCAGGGGCATTAAGAGCCACTGACCGTAAATATCGAGGATCGGCCGACAGTTTCAAAAATTCGTAATTCATTTTATTTTTTCTAAAGGACCCTTTTAATGAACTTTTTTCGAAAATTATATCAAAAAGTTCTATCGCGCTTTTTTTTCTCCAAAAGATCAAAAAGTTCAATTACGCCCACATGGCCGTTGTTCCCCCGTAAAGCTATGAAAAATGATGCAACTTTGGCATCTTCGTACGCTACAACGCGATGCAATCCCGCAATAGTTCATGTATTTGGTACATTCCCGGGCAAGCTGAAAGAGGGGGGCATTGCGGCCTCTGGGAAACCGCAAAACCGGAGAACAAAACCTCCAAAACCGAAAAACCGACGAAAAAGGGCAGCATAACCGAAAACCGCATGCAAACCTGACAAAACCGCTACATTTTCACCTTTAAAGGAGTCCAAAAGGAAAAACCGAAAACCGCATCAGAGTTTTCGTGAAAACCGAAAACCCAATGCCAAAACACGTAGAATCCGCAAACCGCTCTGAACATCAAAACCGAAAAACCGAACCTTTTTTGCCCAAAAATCGATCCAAAAAAAAAGTAAAAACCGGAAAACCGAAAATCCCAAAGCCCCTTTCCTGAAAGATTGGCCTTGACCTCGTGCGTGACAGCCGTTGAACAGATAGCGTTACAGTTTCTGTCATTTTTTAGCTCGAACTCTTTAAAAGCTGGACGCGCTGCCTCAGGCGGGCCAAGAAAGAAACTTAGAGGAATTAAACTTCAAGGATAAAACTTTAAGATGTCATATTTTTTGGTTTGCAAATCTATCATACAAGACCTTTTTAAAGGCCTTTAAGTGGGTCGTGACAGCTGTTCGACGGTTCGCATTTTAATTTTAACAAAATAGCCCAAACTCTTTTAAACCTGAACGTGCCGCTTATGGCGGGCCAAGATAAAGAATTGGATGAATCAAAATAAAA